CCCCTTTGGGCTCTCTCCCTTGGATGGCTGTGCCTCCCCCATCAGACTGGGGAATTCCTAAGGGCAGACATCCTAAGGGACCTACATACAGGTGTCCCCTAGATCCCCCTGCCCACCACTCCTGCATACCAGCGTGCCCTGTGTGCTATTCCCAGCCATGGCGGCCATCAGATTACTCACTGTAATTCACGCCGCGAAAGCTTCCTCTTGTCCTAAGCTGTCCTGACTTGTTTCCTAAGAGCAGTTTCCAAGGACCTCAGCCTTGGGGAAAAGGCGCAGGAGCGGGCTGGGGGTCTGCAAGTCCTAGTCCCTAACAAGCCTGCCCAGAGACGAGGTCTCACGGGCAGTACAGGGGCCCCTGAACACCACTTACATAGGGAGGATTTAAAAAAAATTTTTTTTATAGTTTACTTATTTTTGAGACAGAGACAGCATGAGCAGGAGACGAGCAGAGAGAGGGAGACACAGAGACAGGGAGAAACAGGCTCCAGGCTCTGAGCTGTCAGCACAGAGCCCGACACTGGGCTCGAACCCATGCACCGTGAGATCATGATCTGAGCCAAAGTCGGGCACTCAACCGACTGAGCCACCCAAGCGCCACGCACAGGGAGTTTTTCAATAAATATAGCTCAGCATTGCAAATGTATTTTCTCTTCTGTATGCTTTTCTTCATACCATTTTCTTTTCTCTAGCTTGCTTTCTCATAAGAACACGGTGTAAAAAAAATAGAACATATAAAATATTGGGGCAGCTGGGTGGCTCAGTCGGTTAAGCACCTGACTTTAGCTCAGATCATAATCTTGTGGGTCGTGGGTTCGAGCCCTGCGTCGGGCTCTGTGCTGACAGCTTGGAGCCTGGAGCCTGCTTTAGATTCTGTGTCTCCCTCTCTCTCTCTGCCCCTCCGCTGCTTGCATTCTGTCGGTCTCTCAACAATAAATAAATGTTAAAAAAATTTTTTTAAAAAAAAAGAACATATAAAAAATGTGTTAACAGGCTCTTTATGCTCTCAGTAAGGCTTTGGGTCAATAGTAAGGAGGCTGTTAGTAAAGTTTTGGGGGAAGTCAAAAGTTATATGTGAATTTTCAACCATGTCGGGGGCCTGGCACCCCTAACTCTCACACGGTTGAAGGGTCACCTGTATTTGTCTTCTTTGTATGTCTTCTAGGGGACCCTGGAAGCTGGGGATGCCCACGTGCCAAGGGCTGGCTCCCTGATCCTGTAGAGCTGGGCTTCGCAGGTAGTTGAGGGGCTGGGCTCATTACTATCTAAACCTCTCAGAAGGCCTCTGCCCGTGTGACTCAACTCTGCCCACTGGCCCCTAACCTGAGGCCCCGGCCTCAGTTCTCTCATACAGGACATGGGTTGAATGCGCTTTCCCCCCCTCCACCCTGCGGAAGGGGACATGATTTCCTCTTGCTGATTTGGAGATTGGGGCTAATCTCCAAAAAAAAAAAAAAAAAAAAAAAAAAAAAAAAAAAAAAAAAAAAAAAAAAAAAAAAAAAAAGAATGCATGGGCATCTCTGAGGCAGAGGGGCAGTGTCAGTTATGTTCGCAGGCTTTAGAGATGAGGGCCAAAGCCTGGCTGTGCCACAAGGTACTCACCATATGGGAAAGTCTCAGAACAGAGTCTGAGTCACATGGGCTCAGAGGTGTAGCTGAGCTTGTCGACGGCGCTATCAGATACGCCACACGGCCTGCCGTCTTATTATGTATGATGGTCTGTCTGTTATACTGTCACCTCTGGGAGGGCAGGGGTCTTCGTCCTTGATGCCTGGTGCCCAGAACAGTGCCTGGCACACAGTCAGCCCCCGTTAAGTGCTTGTTAACCTGAGAGCCAGGGTTCAGTGCAGAGGCTCCTCCAGGAGATTCCGCCAGGCAGTCTCCCCATGGAGTTTCTATGGTTCGACAACCCCCACTTCCCGGGGTGGATCTGAGACAAGGACCGGGTCAGGCCCTGGGAGGGGGCGCTTCTCCAGCCAGCAGCAAACTGGCCAGTGTAATAAGCAGGTGCTCAGCAGAGCCCCAACTTCACCCCCCTTGGGCTTCTGTAAGAACAAGGGCCAAGGCGATTGGGGTGGTCGGGGTGCCGACCTGCAGTCTCGGGGGAGGGGTGACGGGGCGGCAGCCCAGACAGAGCCCGGCCCGGCCCTCTCGCCCCTCCCTGCTGGCGGGGTGGGGGGGGGCAGGACCTGGGAAGCAGGGTTGTCCTGGTGGAGAACGCGTCCCCCGGCCCCTCCCGACACCACGGAGGGGTGCAACTGGCCTGCCCAGAGGGCGGAGGGAGCCCCTGGGGAATCACAAATACCAGGAGCTTCTGTACAGACGCAGAAACACGCCCTCGCTGCCCCCTCCCGCAGGAAGTGTTCGAAGCTTAACCCCGGCAGTTCACACGGCCAGGAGCACACGCGGCCTGCCCGCCTGCTCACCCTGCACCGGCCCCCCTCACCCCTGCCAGCAGCTGTTCACCTCCCGGTCCCCTCTGCCCCTGTCAGACCCTCCATCCGTCTTCACACCTTTGGTGGGAACCTCTGGGCACGTCTGCGGAGCTGGCCCAGTCCATCACATCCTCACAGCCTCTCCGCCGGAAGGGTGGGGGAAGCCCCCAAGGGGTCTCTGGGAGGAGGGGGGGGTCCCGCTCCGGCAGGGAGAAGGCCGGGCTACTGTCTACTTTACAGTAATGGCTGTGGGGTTTTTTCTCGTTTCCCTTCCCTTGCTGAGGCTTGTCTCTGGGCCCGAACAGCGCCTGAAACATCCTCCCTCGTTACCCATCTCATTGCCGAATCGTGCTCCGGAAGCCAAGCGCCCCTTACATGCCCGTCTCTCCTCTGCCCTGTGACAAAACCGCCGCTTTGGGGAGAAACTGCAGCCCAGGGGGACTGCAAGGAGCAGTGGTCAGTGAGCCAGGGGCCCTGGACTCTCGGCCCCAGCCCGGCCAGCATGTCCCGGGCCCCCGTCTGTAGAGTGGGAAGGCTGGCCCACATAACCTCAACGTCCCTCTTCAGATTTCCAAGTGACTCTCTGTAGCCTGTTTCCTACCGCAAGCAAGCAAGGCCTGGACGGCATCCTCGGGCCTGGGTACCTCGGGTCTCTGCAGCCAGGGTCGCCCGGCCAGCTCTGGGACCCTGTCTGTCTCTTAACTCTGGGTGGTTAGCGCAGCCACTCTGTCCTCCATACTAATGACATGGAATTCACGGCCTTGAACCCCAAAGAGGCCAGCTAGGTTCCACCGGGAGAACATTCTGGTCACCTGGCCCCATGTTGGCCCCAAGAGGACAGGTACATCACTGTTAGGAGCTCCGGATTCGGCGACTCACTCAAACTCTGCCCCAGACTTGGGCTAAGTGCTTTATGCCCCTCAGCTCATTCATCCTCAACCACCCTACAAGGCAGACGCTTAGTATCATCCCCATTTCACAGATGGGGAAATCGAGGCATACAGAGGGGAAGGGATCTCACCCACAAATAAATGATGAGACAAAAACGCAGTTAGCTCTTCACCGCACTCACTAATAGAGGCACACGAGGATGGACCCAAAACATTCAGAAAATTAATATTCTTGGGAAGGTTGTAGACCAGGGCTTGGCATTTTTTTTTCCCTATAAGAGCCAGGTAGTCCTTGTAGGAAAAAAAAAAAAAGGTAAAATATTTCACTTTGTGGGTCATGTGGTCTGTTTTGAAACTTCTCAGCTCTGGTGTTATAGCCCCAGAGCAGCCATAAACATGTAAAATAAATGGGCATGGCTATGTTCCAATAAAGTTTTATTGACAGCGGCAGGAAGCTAGACGGATACAGCCTGGGGGCTGTAGTGGACCTTCCCTTTGGCCCCGCTTCTTCTTCAAGTAACAAGGTTCTCACACTACTTATATCGTCCTGGCAATTGCGGGGGGGAGGGGTCGACAGAAGGACTGATGTTTATTTGGCCCCTCTGTTGTGCCAGGCTCTGTGCTAAGGTTTTGGCCAGTTAGCATGTGGAATACAGAGAACACCCTCTTAGAAGGTGGTTGGCAACACCTGGTTTAATCACTTTTTAGTTCAATGGGGGTGAAGCTGAGGCTCAGAGATGCTAACTTCCCTGACACCCTGAGCGGTGGCGCTGGGATTTAACCCTCTTCAAGCCTTCACCTCCCCTCGGGAACCAGAGCTGTTCAGAAAAGCTTGCGCCACACTCAGAAGGCGGGAGGCAGAGTAATGGCAGCCTTGGACTTCATCCTTTCCTCCGTGGATATTTGAGAGCCAGCCGTAGCTACCGAAGGGAACCCATCAGCTCCTCCAAGTTACCAGGACGGCCAGGGTCACCACGTCCCACTCCCCAAACCACCAGCCACCACCATCAGCCTCAGCCATGTCTTTGAACTTGATCCAAGGGTGTCCCCCCCCACTTCTAACAGCCCCAGCAACGAGTGACTCGACCGGCAACCAATCACACGTGAGCTAATGAGCTCCAAGACCCAATGGGAGCAGAGTCCCCAGTTCTACCAGCCGCGTTTCTCTCTACCAATAGGATGCAATCCTGCCTCTCATGCAATGGTCACTCCTGGGGAAAGGCAAGAGATGGAGTACAGGATGGAATCCAGGAAGGACTCCTGGTTCTAGAACAAAGCCCAAACCCCACTCAGCCTCCCATAGGAAACGGTACAAAGCTTCCACCCACGCGCCATCTGAAAACGCCCGACTTTAAGGACCCAAACAGCCATGATGTGGGCGGAGGGCCAGAGTCATAAGCTCTGGGGGTGGGGGGGTGCTGTCGGGCCAGGAGTGCATCTCTACGGCAACATCTGCTTGTTTCTGGCGGCCGGGAGCAGGGAAACCCTTTCTCTGTATCTGCCCGCTGGGGCACCCAGGCCTGTAGCTTGAAGATAAACCCCGGGCACAGGATCCCAGAGTCCGGACCCGCCAGGGTGGAAGGGGCATCCCCGTGTCCCAGTTTAACCCTCTCTCTCTCTCGAGGGGCCCCGGAGCCCACGGCTTCCCAGGGACCAGTCTGGCGAGACCACCTACCTGGGGAGACAGGCTGTTGCTGACGGGGTTCATGTGGTTGGAGGACGCCGCCGGGTTCATGAAGCTGTCTGAGTAGCTGGAGAAGCTGTGGCGGGCTCCGTAGGCAGAGCCGGTGTCGGCGGCCGCAGCAGCGGCGGCCAGCCCCCCCTGGTGCATGGTGGACGGCGGGAGGGGCTGGGGCCGGTGTACGGTGCTGCCTCCATCTGTGGGGAGACCCAGGACAGGGCCTGAGCAAGCGGCCCCCGCCCAGATGGTGGGCATCCCAGGGCAGGGAAGCGATCGTCTGCGTGGAAGGCAAAGCCAGGAGCCTCTTCTCCTCGCCTCCCTCAGGTGGGCGGAGGGGACCTCCTCTCGCGACTCGGGATGGGACAAGCTGGCTTCTGGACAGGGCACCGGGGACTAGCCAAGCCTCCACGGACAGCTAACCAACGTTCCAGATAACCTCAAGGCAAGTGCACCAGCCACGTGGCTCAGTGTTTGGCACACAGTAGGTGCTCGATAAATGTCTTCTGGATTGAAAGTCAGACTTTGTTGGGGACTCTCTTAATCTACCCCAACCTGTCCCGATAGCATTTCGTGGGCACCCACCGCTTGCCAGGGGCTTTTGCAAATACTGTCTAAGGGTATGAAGCAAGAAGAGGAGTCCCATTTTCCAGGTGAGGAAACCGAGGCTCGGAGGGGTCAGGGCACAGTGCACAGTGACAAAGGCCAGTGGGGGGTGGGGCCAGGGTCCGAGCTGCCATTTCTCTTCCTTGCTGCTGGGGCTGCCATGGGCTCTCTCAGGGCCCCTCCGCGCAGCCTTCTGGACAGTGAGACAATCAGCATTGATTTTTTATCAGGAATTACAGGGAAGGGAAGAAAAGAATCAGACGGAGGACCCCCTGCCTGTGTCCTCGCCTCCAGAACTCTAGCCTGCCAGCCCTTTGACAGGCAGCCCCAGGGGCTTTCAGGAGTCAGAGGTCAGGCAGTGGGGTTCCCAATGTGCACGGGGGGGGGGGGGGGGGGGGGGGGGGGGGGGGGGGGGGGGGGGGGGGGGGGGGGGGGGGGGGGGGAGGGCAGGGGAGGAAGAGAGAGAAGGGGAAGACAGAATGGAGGGAAGGGTGCAGGGGTGGATGGTAGCCTTGTCCGTCTCTCCTGCATTTTAATAAGACTACAGGAGACCGTGTACTTTACAGCGTGGAGAGCTCTTGTCTAAACGTGTACAGGGAGGCCACCTTGTTAACCTTCACCTGGATGCTGTGTGGCCTGCTGGCAGAACCAAGCAGTTCAAAGGCAGGACCTCGTTTGTCTCGTGTTAATAGTCTGTCTGCGAGCAAACAGACAGATGGTCATTTAAAAAAATCACCCTTGGGGCGCCTGCGTGGCTCAATCGGTTAAGTGTCCGACTCTGGCTCAGGTCATGATCTCACGGTTTGTGAGTTCAAGCCCCGCGTCGGGCTCTGTGCTGACAGCTCAGAGCCTGGAGCCTGTTTCAGATTCTGTGTCTCCCTCTCTCTCCGCCCCTCCCCCGCCTGTGCTTGTTCTCAAAAACAAATAAACATTAAGTAAATACACAGCCCTTCTGACTCCTTCTAAGTTAAGGAAGGGCAGGAGGGGGGCGGGGCCGGGAGGAGCTGGCGCACTCACCCTGGGAGATGGTGGTGGTGGGGTAGGTGGAGTCCGGCAGCTGATAGGGGGGCAGCGCGGGCATGCCGGTGGGCGGGAAGCCCCCTGGCAGAAGATGGTTGAACGCTGCCAGCTGGTTGGCTCCTGCCTGCTTCCGCCAACGGGCACGGCGATTGCTGAACCAGACCTGGGGGGTGGAGAACAGAGAGAGGAGGTCCCTCGGCCCGGCTCTGGGCGGGAGAGCTGAGACTCGGCTACAGCTGATCCCTGAGCCGTCACCCCGCATCTAGCCCACATCCTCCTCCGTGGGAGGAGACCCCCCCTTCCTGTAGCTTGGGACCGAGTGCGGCGCACTTCCACAGGTGTGAGCCGCGGTATCCTCACCACCGCCCCGTGAAGGGATCTATATTGTTATCCCCATTTTACAGATGAGCAAACTGAGATGCAGAGGGAGGGAGGGACTTGGGCTGGAGACACAGCCAGGTCTGGGTGACCCTCAGAGCAATGTTCTTTTACCGCAGCTGGTCAGTGGGCAACCATTCTTGTTCTCGCCCCCACCTCCTCCAGGAAGCCCCCCACGAGGAAGCCACACGTCTGCAAGCTGCTTGAATGAGACCCATCTGCAGATGTGAGAGCTCGTTCTCTGTCCGAGGCCGGAGGCCCACTTTGCTTACCCAGCATGGGTCCCCGTGACCCAGGAAAGCCCACCTCACAAGGACATAGGGGTTTATTAAGCATCCGTGGAAAAATAACCTAATGCCTCGGAGTCTCCGTCCGCTCCAAGCCCTATGCTGGCGCTTCACGCATGCCTGTACGTAAGCCCACGAGACGTGTCCTCCTAGTCCCGCTTCACAGAAGGGGAAACTGAGGCTCGCAGAGATCAAATAACTTGCCCGAGGCCATCCAGCTAGCTGTGGCGAATCTGAGGTTCCAACTTAAATCAGTGTGACTTTCTAGAACTCACTTGTCTGGATTTTGCAACGGAGTTCTGGTCTGGAAAAGGAGGAGAATGAATGTGGGAAACAGGGCTGCTTCGGAGGGGCTCTTTTCCGCATCTGGGCTTTGCATATGCTGTTCCCTCTAACCCAGACACCCTTCCCGCAGCCAGCTCCTCGATCTGTTGCCTCCTCCTCTCGGATTCCCTAATCACTGCATCTAAGGCAAGTTCAGGCAGGTCCTGCCTCCTTTCCGGAAGCCTCCAGCTTCCTTGTCAGTTTCCGCATACATGGCGATCATTCTGGGTATTTGGGTCTTGGCCATGTTTCTTTGTCTCCTCGGCAGGCCCAAGGCCCCAAGGGCTGATGCCATGCATTCCTTGCTCACTGCTTATAGCTCCCTGGGTGTTCACGGAAGACTTGCTGAATGAATGAATGGATGAACGAATGAACAAGGGAACGCAGAGATGGCACTGGTATGTCTTTGCCAAGGCCAGTGCCTCAAAGCTCAAATCGGAGCCTCTCCTAGGGGGGTGAAGACCCCGACCTCCCCCGGCATGGGATCACTTAAGACCCTCCCCCAACCTGTCGACCGTCAGCTGATTGGAGGGTTGCTTAGGTGCCTCTGGTGTCTTTCTTCTTCCAGATCCTTCTGGAGGAGAGAAGTTATGTTCAGCTTTCCCAGCTGGACGAAGAGAGCAGCCGGCTCTGAGTCATTTAGGAAGCAGTCAGGTCAGAGTGACAACTGGCTCTGGGATGAAATTGAGGTCCCGGCTTCTCCCCACTTCCCCAGGGCACGGAGGGCTTCCCCAGGGGCGTCCTGACCGAGGGGCTTCTAAACCGGCGGGGAATGGGCAGCATCTCCTCGCTCCCTGCTTCTGGGAGAGGGTGTGGGGCACGTTTTCGTTTCCATCCAATGTTTCCTCCTTCCGCAAGGGAGGGACATCCCAGATGGCAGTGACACAGACATGAAGTCACCCTAAGCCAGTCCACTTCTCCGTCAGGCCTTCTGGGCGTGCGGAAGACAAGGTCCAGGCTTGGTGCTAATGTGTCCTCAGTGCCTCGCTAACATCTGCACTAAGCTTCCTTCCAAACACACAGAGGAGAGCTTCTACGGCTTGATGTTTTCCAGCAGGTTCCTCATCAGTGTTGTTTAGTCTTCCCTGGAGTGCATTTCCAGCCGCCTGCCTTATGTGACAGTGACAGACACGTTTATTTTAAAATGTATTCATTTGGGGGCGCTTGGGTGGCTCAGTCGATTAAGCATCGGACTTTGGCTCAGGTCATGATCTCATGGTTCATGAGTTCGAGCCCCGTGTCGGGCTCTGTGCTGACAGCTCAGAGCCTCGAACCTGCTTCAGATTCTGTGTCCCTCTCTGTCCCTCCTCCACTCGCGCTGTCTCTCTCCCTCAAAAATAACTAATCATTTAAAAAAATAAAATAAAATTACTGATTTTATTTTAAAAGCAAGTAGCAATGTGGATAATACACATATGTGGCAAAAACCTTAAAGTTGGTCGGAGAATGACTTAGGCGTGGGACACGCCGCTCCCATTTGGGACGCCGCAGCCACCTGTGGTCATCCTTTCCTCAGATAAGGAATACTAAAGAGGGGCGCCTGGGTGGCTCAGTCGGTTAAGCATCCGACATCAGCTCAGGTCACGATCTTGCAGTTTGTGGTTTTGAGCCCCACGTCAGGCTCTGTGCTGACAGCTGGGAGACAGGAGCCTGGAGCCTGCTTCAGATTCTGCATCTCCCTCTCTCTCTGCCCTCCCCCAACTCGTGCTCTCTCTCTCTCTAAAATAATGAATAAACATTAAAAAGATTTCAAAAAAAAAGAATACTAAAGGAAGTTGGAAAAGTTCTTCTCCTTCCATCCTTCCCCATCCTTTCCATCTCTTTCCCTCCTTCCTTCCTTCCCTCCTTCTCATTGCGAACCTTTACTGTGCTCTGTGCCAAGCGAGATGCGAAGGACAGAGATGGACGGGATGGTCCTGGGCCTCCAGCTGCCCTCTGCCCAGGCACACAGCACACAAGGCAGAGAACCACCGCTTCCCAGCGCAGTGAGCTCAGGGAACATACAGGTGCTATGAGGAGGTCCAAAGAGGGGCTTCCGACTTCACCTCTCAGAATCCAGGAGGACTTCCTGGAGGAGACGACATGCCCTATGCTCTCAATGCTCTCACCTCTTCTTCCTTTATTGTCCTGGTTTCCCCCAGGGATGTCTCCATCCCCAGCAGGCACCTCCCTCCTCACAAAGCATCATGGGATAGCTGGAGCTTGACCCCTTGGGCTTGAATCCTGCCTCTAACTCCTAGCTAAGATGGACAAATTCCGTTACCCCTCTGTGCCCTTGTTTCCTTGTGCCTAATAAAGGCACCCCACCTCCTATGGTTTCTGGACCTCGAAATGAGTTAACACAGGCCAACTGCTTTGAACAACACCTACAACTATCATTCTGCTGGTGACTGATGGCTGAGCTGAAGGAGCTCTCAGCCAGCACCCAGTGAAAGCTGCCCATTCACGGAGGGGGCATGGAGGCTCCAGGAGGGAGGGGGTTAAGCCCCGCCACCCCTCACCCCCGCACCGGAGTCCCTGATCAGGGCTGAGTTCTTTGAAAGCAGACGCTGAGTTTTATTATTCACTTTTGGTCGTTCCCACAACACCCAGCACTGGGAGCACCGTGCCCCAGGCAGCAGCTGGTTACGGGGCTGAATACTCCATCCGGGCCTTCTCTCAACGGAGCGCGGGAGAAAAGAACATGGCAGGCAGACTTGGGTTCAAGCCCCAGCACTGCCGCTGATTAACTGTGTCCTTAGGAAATTTCTTCCCTCGGCAAAAGCTAGGGTTTCTCAGCCAGAAATGGAGACACGGATCATACCTGCCATCTGAGATCCGGGGGACGGTGACCACGGTAACGAACGCTAACCGTGCCCGGCGCCTGCGAAGCACGCTGTAAATGTTACCCACTGTTAGGGAAACATCCAGTCCAAGTTGTTACTTCGCGGTGGGTCCCTCTAGGGCTTCGAGAATGGGATTCCGTGCAGGGTGGCTTCTGTGTCCGGGGGAGGTACACAGGCTCAGAGCCCTTGGCACTTGGGACGCAGTGGATCGGTTCATCTCCGAGGAAGATGCGTACAAGGTTGGGGTTGGCTCCTCGCTATTTAGAAGTGCAGGTTTCCTCCAGAGAAAGGTACTGGTCCCCAGGCATGTGTCCTCCTTCCTGATACCCCCTCTCCTCCCCTTCCTGGTGGCTTTCTGCCAACTGAGACACGGGGTCTCCTCCAGGCACCAGGGAGGCCAGGTAACACCCTGTAGGGTTCAAAAGCAGGGCTGGAGCAGAGCCAGAGGGAGGCAACACATCTGAGTCACCAGAACGCCGCCTGACATGTTTACCTATCTCCTTGTTCATTCAAGTATCAGCTCCGTGACAGCAGAGATTATCGTCTGCTGACTCCCCGGGGCCCACAATGGCGTCCGGCACACAGTAGGTGCTCAATAAATGAGTGTGCCAGCTGAATGAACTGGGAGTTTCCAGGGTGGCCAGATCAGAAAGAACGGGTGGAGTTTTAGTAAGAATGTATTTACTTCCGGTGCTTCTGTGTGCCAGGTACTTCCTAACTTGGAGTGCGTGGTTTGTTTTTTTAACAGGTAAGTATTTGATCCTCAGAACAAGGTAGACTATTCCTGTCACCTCCACTTGGCAGGTAAGGAAACTGAGGCTGCAGGTGTAAGTGATGGAGCTGGAATTCCCACCTCGGCATCTGGCCCTGAGCCCACTCGGAACCACTCCACCATCTCCCCGGGCCACTGAGATGAGAGGTCTCAGGACTGTGAAATCCCAGAATCACAGACTCTTCGAAGCGGAGACCTGAGACCTCAAATCCAGGAGTCTGAGCAGCACTCAGGAGGCTTTGAGGTCTCCACCCTACCGTCCACAGCAGGAACCCTACCAGAAGCTAGGGTTTCTGACTGATGCCGCACTGTACTTTGGCTTACACACTGCCAGCGATGGGGATCTCATCACCTAACAAGGCAGCTCTGATTGTCAATAAGTAAGGATCCAGGGGCACCTGGGTGGCTCAGTCGGTTAAGCATCCAACTTCAGCTGAGGTCATGGTCTGACAGCTCAGAGCCTGGGGCCTGTTTTGGATTCTGTGTCTCCCTCTTTCTGCCCCTCCTCCGTTTGCGCTCTCTTTCTCGCTCTCTCAAAAATTAATAAAACATCAAAAGAAATTTTAAAATATAAGTAAGGATCAATTTACTTCCATTCCTTTATTTATAGATGGGACATGAAGTCTCAGGAAAGGAAACAGATCTACTGATGGTGATACAGAGATCAAGGGAAACTCAGGCCTGCGGTTCTTAGTCCCTGTAGACCTTTATAGGGAACTTGGGACTGTCCCCTATTGACCCTGGTCCACCCCCCACCCCCGGGGGGCCCTCTTTGAGCAGCCCTGTCCTCCAAATCTCTTCTCCAGGCCACACATTCTATCGTTCCGGTCTTGACATTTTTAGTCAGCCTTTGGACATTTTTTTTAAACCCAGCATATATTGATCCTTCCTCTGCCGGGATCGCGCGAAGTTCTCAGGCTAAGGCTGGGGAGACTCGCTGCCCTGGGGGAACCCACGGCATGTTACGGGAGTCAGCACGCACAGGAGGTCCGCCCTGACCCCCTCACTGTGGGTTTGCCGAGGCTCTGGCTGCTCCCCCTTGTTCCCAGCCCCCCCACCCCTTGGACCTTGAGTGACACCTGTTTCTAGGTCCCCTGGGCCAATAAAAGCACTGCCCTGACAGCCAGGAAATTTTACAAGGAGCGGTCAGGCTTCAAGGTGGTGGGAAGCGGCCGTGGCTGCCAGACGTGGGAATGAGAAAGCCCCCAGGAATGTGCCCAGAAGAACAGCTGCAGGGGACGATCAGAGGGGGGAGGAGGGGGCCCCAGAGCCCAGGGCAGGCTCAGATATCACCCTGGAGAGGAGGGGAGAGAATGAGATGAGCTGGCTGCCGCCGCCTGCTCCCTTCCCCTTGGGGTCTATCTCAAAGGCAGCCAAAGACCCCCCATTCCAGCCATGGGGGTGGGGAGGGCCGAGGGAGGTGCACGGGTTTTCGGGAGCATGTAAGTGCCAGTTTCTTCTAGCTCTTTCCCTGTTGCTTTCAAGTCCCAGGCCCTGAGGCAGCTTCCACCTTCCCCACGGAAAGAACTTGGGCGTTGGTATCTGCCAGGCCCGCGTTCTGGCCCAGCTCAGCCCCAGCCGAGCTCTGTCGCTTCTCTGAGCCTGTTTCTCTTGCACCTGTGGCCTGCCTGGAGGTGGCCTGCGAAACAATGTGGCCTGACGTTCCGTCCGGTCATGTGTGAGAAGGCTGGAGCCAGGTGGGCGCCTAGCAAAGGCTGGTTCCCGGCTGGCCGTGCCCAGCGTGCGGTTCGGGGCGGCCCCTCCCGCAGACGCGCCTGCCCCATTGTCCCGTTTCTGGAGAAGACAGGCCGGGGATGGACTCCGGAGCGGGCCGTCACAACCCTCTCTCGATTCCTCCCCCACCCGGGGAGAGGAGGCCATTCCCTCCCGCTGCTGGCCAGATGCAGGGGAGGGCAGGCCAAGGCCACGCGGGCTCTGTCCCTTCTCCACCCTCCCTTCCCCCAGCCCTGCTGATGAGGAACTGCACACGGGAGGGCGCTGATGGAGGCATCCGAGGTCTGCCCGTCCTTCCCCTGATGGTACTAATTCACCAGGAACAAGCCTGCCCGGTGTGCTCACATGCTTCCTGTGACGGGAGACTCATTACCTGTCTTAGGAAGCCAGGCCTTTCAGAAAGTTTCCTCCTAATCACTTCCTCCCCTCATCGGAGGTTTGGAGGCTTTTATGCTCCCCGAGCCTTCTCCTCTGGCTCGTCTTGGCCTCCCGGGGCTGCCCGCCGCTTGCTCAGATACTCAGCCAACCCTTGCTGCCCACTTTGCACCAAGTGCCAGCGGCATTACTTGCTTACAGGGTCCCCGGACCACCCGCTGCAGAACCCCGCGGGGGGCCCCGACATCCTGGGGCCCCGGCCTCCTCCGCCTTCTCCATTCCCGTCCCTTCGATATGCCCGTGGTGCAAACGCCTGCGCCGCCGGCCTCACCTGGACACGCGCCTCAGTGAGCTTGGTCCTCTGCGCCAGCTCCTCGCGGGTGTAGATGTCCGGGTAGTGGGTCCTCTCAAACGCCTTCTCCAGCTCCTCCAGCTGCTCAGCCGTGAAGGTGGTCCGACTCCGGCGCTGCTTGCGCTTCAGAGGGAGGTCAGGCTCCGACTCCACGTCCGAGCCTTCATCCAGCCGGTTCCCTACAGGCAGGCGAGAGGGAAGGAGGGGGTGAGGGCCCAGTGAGATGCAGAAGAGCTTTGTGCCCACCGCCGGACCCACTGCTGCGCTGACGCTCAGACCCCTCCTGCGCACAAGGAGAAGAATGTTCCCCACAGCACCGTTCATCACAGTGAAGGGTGGGAAGCAACCTCCACACCCAACCCGAGGGGATTGGTTAAATACTTTACAGTACGACTAATTTTTTAAAAATGTTTAAATGTTTTTATTTATTATTGAGAGACAGAGAGAGAGACAGAGAATGAGCAGGGGAGGGTCAGAGAGAGAAAGAGACACAGATTCTGAAGGAGGCTCCAGGCTCCCATCTGTCAGCACAGAGCCCGACGCGGGGCTCGAACTCACAAACCGAGAGATCAAGATCTGAGCCCCCAAGTCGGAGGCTTAAGGGACTGAGCCACCCAGGTGCCCTGGCACAACTAATTTTTTTAATCCCCTATAGATGGATATTTAAGTTAGTTCCACTGACATGGAAGGATGTCTATGACCTAAGATGCAAGGTAGTTTCATGATGAAATATCTTTGCTGAAATTCCTAGAACGATTTTCTCCAAAATGGGAGATATTCGGCTGTGCGTTACCTATATCTCCATACACCTAACTTTAAGGGAAAGGCGAGGTATAAACCAGCGTGCAAAGATCGAGCCCGCTTTCGGGAAAAGCGCACGCGACACATTCTGGAACACCATACTCAAAAGATGAACAAATGTTAACCTTCAGAGTTGACAGAGCTTTTGTTTCTTCCTTTATTCTTGTTAATAGTATTTTAAAAAAATGATGATGATTTAAACAGCAATGCTATTACATTCGAGGAAAATATGGCAAAAACTAAGGAGGAAGGCCAAAAGCAAGGGAAGGAGGGAGACAGAGGGCAAACGCATGTGCTTAGGGCTGGCAGTCAAGAAGCTTAGATTCCGTACTTGTCTCTGCCCCTAAATACCCAGAACCGTGACCCTCAGAAGGCTACCTTCCCTCCTTGGGTCTCAGTTTCCTCATTTATTTAAAAAGGTTTTTTTTAGCGTTTATTTTTTGAGAGAGAGAAAGAGAGGCAAACAAGCAGGGGAGGGGCAGAGGGAGAGAGACAGACAGAATCTGAAGCAGGCTCCAGGCTCTGAGCTGTCAGCACAGAGCCCGATGTGGGGCTCGAACCCACGAACCGTGAGATCATGACCCGAGCTGAAGTCGGACGCCCAACAGACCAAGCCACCCAGGCGCCCTGCGTTTCCCCACTTATAACATGAAGCATTTGGACCATGTGACTGCTACCCACAGGCCCTTCCTGGGTTGTTTCAGGATCTCCGAGTAACGTTCCGGGCTGGAAGAGGAGACCTTACCTGATGACCTTGGTTGTGGCCACGGCCCCTACCTGATAGTCCCCACTAACTTCCACCCTGGAGCCAGGCGATGGATAAAAGCCTTTGCTTCCTATGCAGAGAGAGCCCAGGAGGCTGGAGCCAGCTTACTTCTCATCGCTGGATGGGGCTATCAGGCCAGCAATCTGCCTATCCCAGGTCCAGGCGAGAGAGGCTGCAGGAAGGGCTTGATCAAGCTCCTTGGCCTCGGAGCTGAAGACACGCTGTGGACGGAACTGGCTTCCCGACTCCCTCAATCCTGTGCTTCTTACCCATCTTGGTCCAGCAGAGGGAATGCTAGCAAGGAGTGGCCTGGCCAGGGCTCTGGAGCTGCTCCCTCTGCGGCCCCCAGGGAACTCTGGGGAGCATGAAGGAGAAGAGGAGGCCAAGGAAGGGAGAGGGAAAGAGGAAAGAGGCCGCCAGAGCTGATCTCCCACGCACTCCTGCTTTCTCTCTCGCCTCTTTTGCCTTCAGTGCTCCCTCCCCCGCCCCTCGCATCCCACCTTTGGAATTGCCGGAAGCCCTTAGCATGTCGTCATCCACTTGGTCACCTCACCAGTCACTGGAGCGACAGTAAAGCACCTGCTAGGTGCTGCCCCCAGGCTGGGGTCACTGTGCTCACAGCACTCCATCTGAATCAAGCAGGAAGGGCCTCAGAGATCACGTGAGCACGCTACAGATGGGAGAAACTGAGTCACCGAGAGCAACGTGACCCGCCCAGAGTCCCTCAGGAAGTGTGCACACCTGCACCCCTGCGCTTGCTCAACGGCTTTAAATGTCTGCTATCCAAACAGGTGTAGGCCTCGCCCACAAGGGGCAGCCTCCTCCTTCCGCCAAACACCCGACGCGGCCGCTTAGACGTGAGGTGAGGCATTCCCGGCCGAGGGAAGAGCAGGTGCGAACCCTGGGGTGGCGAAGTGCGTGGCGGGCAGTGCTGCCCTGGGGCTCCGTCCACAGCTGGGACATCACCCAGTGTTGAGCAACGCCCCCGTCGCAGGTCCCCTCCCTCCATCCAGCTATCCCGGCCGTCGGGCAGTCCTGCTTATTATTGGTCACTGCCAGGCTGCCTCTGCTTGTGACGCCGCATCGCAAGGGGACCAGAGCCTACCTCATCCCTAAAAGCAGACACCTGGGGTCAGATCTAACCCGCTCCTCTCTCCCTTCCCGGTTGCCGAGCCTCCCATCCCTGAGAAGAGGTGGCACAGCGGGCATGTAGGGGCACCCTCCCCAGCACACCTAGGGCTCAGAGCCAAATACACCCAGTCCCAGGGATTCAGCCCTGAGATGCACCGCATAACCCAGAGGGGATGGGGAGGGGGTCACATGGGCAGAGGGGACGTGGAGCACGTTCATTAAACACAGGCTGGATCTGGGGTGGCCGGCAGCAGCCCATCCTCTGCCGCACACGGCGGTGAGATGGAAAGATCCCAGGGGGTGGGACAGAGCTGGTACAGGTGTGGGGACAGCCCCAGGATGGGGAGCTATGGCGAGGGCCCTTGTCTCTGGGCTCCTGGCTTCTGCTCAGGGACGTGGGGAGTCCAACACCGAGCAAGGAAGAAACGGCCCCACCTCCCAATCTTACGGGGGGGAAACAGCCTGTGTCTTAGAAAGTGCCTAGTCTGATGGAGGAGGTATCGTCCCTATTCTGGGAGTTTCCCAGTCTGCTGGAGGAAACTGCTTCCATAGGAACAGAGCGTCCGAGCGCCCTGAGAACAGAATGAATGAGGGACAGGAAGGGTGACAGGAGCCACATGGTTTGTCAAAGCTTAAAAGCGGGCAGGACTGGGGTGCCTGGGTGGCTCAGTCGGTTAAGCGGCCGACTTCGGCTCAGGTCATGATCTCAAGGTTCGTGGGTTCGAGCCCCATGTTGGGCCCTGTGCTGACAGCTCAGAGCCTGGAGCCTGTTTCGGATTCTGAGTCTCCTTCTCTCTCTGACCCTCCCCTGTTCATGCTGTCTCTCTCTCTCAGAAATAAATAAAACATTAAAAAAAAAAAAGCGGCCAGGACTGAGGTCTGCGCAGGGCACAGAGTCCAGCCCAGGCGAGGCTGATGGGTGTGGGCAGAAAATCACTGGGGAGCATCTTCTCAGCTTCTTCCTCAGCTTCTTCCTCAGCTTCTTCCTCAGCCTCAGCCTCTCCCTCCAAGCCTGGCGGCTCCCACCGCGGCTGACTCCGGAAGCCTCAGCCATGCCACTGTCAGTCCCGCCCACGTGCCGAGACCCACCCCATGACTCCACGAGGCTCCCTGGCCAGCTCTTGGCACCCTTAAACGACCAAGCCAGGCTATCTCACACCTCCAAGCCTTTGACATTGACGGTGAGCTTCCTCTACTTGGGATGCCCCCCCCTCCAGTGGGCTCACCCTGCTCATCCGGCACAACTCAGTTTGTGGGTGGCCTCCCCCAGCTCCCTGAACGTGTCCATGCCCATCTCCACGCCCATTCTCGGGCTCTCGAGGCTCATCAGGGGCACCAAACCTGCCTGCTTATGGGTCTCTCGGTCCGACTGGACTGGGGGGATCCCTAAACAGAGCAGAGACTTTGTCTGGGACACCGTAGGCGCTCAATAAAGGCGTCTTCGATGAACAGGGCTGGGCAGTACAAGTACAAAGTTCCTTCTGCACTCCGACACACGGCAGTAGTCGCCACCCTACGCGTGTGCACCGCACCCTACAGTTTACAAGCTCTGTCAGTCCCACAACAGACTCTCCCGGTAGCCATGGAGGGCCAAGCAGGCCGCATCAGCCCCATTTTACAGATGTTCAGTGAAGTCCTAGGGCAGCAAGGCTGGGAAGAAACCCCAGGACTCAGGACTCAAAGCCCAGCGAGTCAGCTTTGCTGCAGAGAACTCTAAGGTGATGGAGACTTCCATTTCTGAGTGCAAAAAGCCAACGTGGCTTGCCCCCAAACACCCCCTGCCCTCTCTCCTGCTAGAGGAAAAGACGTGAGATGAGATGGTCATGACTCCTGGACCCACCGACTTTCTTAGAAGGCAAGAGGGGGCTGACCATCTGCGGGTCCCTGTCCTCCTAGATTCGAGGAAGCCGGCAGTGGCCTTGAGTTCTGGGGTCCTTCTCTCCACTCCCTCCAAGCCCTTTCCCCGGACCCAGAGACACCTTCCCACCCCTGCTCCTTCGCTCCCCCTCCCTGTTGCCTCCAAACCCAGCCTTTATTATTACAGTTTAACATAGGCCCGACTTGAGCCGCGGCAGAGAAACGAATCACATAATAGTTGATATGCGTTTTAATCAAGTAATTCGGGCAGAGCCGAGAGCCGGTGAGTGTGGGCCCGGCGTCCCTGAATACCAAACAGGCCTGGGCGCAGGCCTCGGAAAATGGAAAAGTCATTTACAGCTCAGCTGGGGGCCCGCCGAGCCGGGGCCATGGTGGGAGCCCTCCCGGCCGCTCCGCAGAACTGCTCAGCTGTAACCCGCACACGGCGCGGGGCGGGAGGCTGGGGACGTCTGCGGGGGGCTGGCGGCACACAAGGGCTGGGCGACCCCGACGGGCGGAGGGGCAGGGCTCGGACCCCATGTGACAGCTCCCTGGAATGGAGCCCCTCCTGTCCGCCATGCGTGCCCAGACCTCCCTCAGGTGCCCGTCCAGCACTGCTGCCCA